TATACCTCGCGTGCTCTCGACCGCGACGTTTAGCTGAGGATTTCCATATTCTTGCGATTCGCGTGACAACGCGATGCACTAGTGATGGAATTATTCATTCAAAGACGCTGGGCTTCTAGAAGCGGGATCTACAATAGAAATCGTAGAGTCGTAAGTCGTAGAAATCGACCAATCGCGGTCGATTTTTCTTCTTATGCTCGATCGCGATTGGTCAATTTCTACGACTTCTATTGTAGACCCCACTTAACGTTTGCTGCACGATAACGGAACAAGTGTTGACGCGACTCGACTTTCTTTCTTCAGAGCGCTTCTTTCATTTCGTCGGACTTATGATTACCGTGAGTTAGACACGTGGGATCCCTCGATGCGCGCATTTCACTCAGCTCGCGCTAAAATAAACGTTTTTCCGGCTTCGCTAAGTGCGGGAAATCTCGTGTCAATGTACCCGGTGAGGAGACGAGACCCAAGACAAGACAAGAAATCATGAGAACAAACGGCACTTGGCATTCAGATCACGCACGACTACTACGGAGCTGTCTGCCGATCTACGCCTCTTTCGATCACGGCGTACGTATGTGTCACGAGTCGTCGTGTATCAAGTCGTTGATTAATTGGCACCACTCGACCGTATGACGCCTAATTAGATGGTAGTGAAGGGCCAATGTGAAAATCGAATGTAGTTGAACGATGTATAAAAGTATGATTACGATGAAAATTACTGTAATAAGTTGTGAGAGCTATTCGACTAGCACACACAGAGTAATGTTGATTCGAGTAAAGAGAACAGTTTAAGGTACAGGTCGAAGAACTCTCGTTCGATAACGCAGAACTTTGAAACCTACATTTCGAGTTAATGTGGCGGGAGAAGAGAGGGAAAAATGGAAAGAAGGCAAAGAGAATGTATGTAATTATAATAAATGAAATAATTATGCAGCGAACTAATAGAGAGATATCGCAAAAATTAAATATATCTATAAAATTAGTGTCATAGTGTTATCTGTAAAAACTGAATAGATAATTTATAGTTATCTGTGAAAACACAGAATAATTAATTTATTTATGAAAACAAAAAAGATAATTTATAGTTACTTGTAAAAATCGAATGAATATTAAACGAGAACTTAGTGATAACAAAAGATGTTGCAATTGAAAACATTCGTCTACACATTCGATTACGTTAAGACTCGATTGAGATAATTGATAGTAATTAATTGGAAATCTCTCACAAGAAATTTTCCTTTCCTACACTGAGAGAAAAAATATCTCAAAATTAGTAAGCATTTATTTGATGGATGCTAACAGCGTATTTATTTAAATCTAAATTCTTTTTTATCTATACAAAATAAATAATTACTCTTATAAAAATACAAAGTTTTTCTTAAAGTTTTAAGAAAATTTTCTGTATTGAAATATATTTTATATTAGTGCAAACAAATATGCCGTTAGTACCTATCGAATAAATATTTGCTAATCTTTAGATATTTTCTTTTCAGTGTACAACCAAATTCAGTCTCCAGAAAACAGAATTAGTTGGACGAATCCAGTTCTTTTCCGTGTAGAAAATAAAATAATAGAATTGATAAGAAATAAAGATTGCGGTCTAGCTTTCAGGTCAATTTTCGTGACCGGATATTGTTCTCAACGTTAATCCCGATGATAAATGCGAAAGATCACAACAGTGCCGCGAAGGAGACCGGGAAGTTTCGACTCCTTCGGGCCGGGTCAGGTCGTTAGTGTTCGCGCGTGAGAGAAGTCGCTGACATTTCGGGATGTTGGGCACCGGTATAAACGAAGCGGGAAAGCCGCAGCGGCCCTTCCTCATCGACGACATCCTGGACCTTGTCGGTTTCGATTGCCGAGCCCGTAAATTTTACCCGCTCAGCCTCTGCGCCTCGCACGAGAATAGAATAATGACGGGAGAGAAACCCTTGCCCCTCTCCCCCTCCCCCGGATTGTCGCGCTTCTCCCGGAAGATCTCGGAGGATGTCGTTGTCTCGTCTCGCGGGCGTCTGTTCGCGGGAATTGTGAGATCTCGTGGAAAACATGGTGTATGTCGCCAACGAGCGACTGTATCCCTCGTAACTTGCTGCTTTACTCTCGAACTTATCCGATTCTTTCGTTCACGAAATGCATAAACCGTGTACGGGAAAAAATTATCTCATAAGATCGCCGGAATCTTCACGAAGTTCAATCGTGAGTCCAGATTCTTTCTCACAAACGATCCCCAAAATCTGTCAATAGTTATTACTTCAAACTCATCTCAAGTGAGTTATTCGGATTTGAATTCAGAGTTACATGAGAATTCTTCAGTCGAATCAGATATAAATGTCACGTGTATCATAATGCAACTGGAAAACTTGCATCTAATTCTAAACAAAAGTGTCTGAATATCTCAGATAAAATATTCAGATGAAGAATCCAAAATACTATTGAAAAGACTTCGAGCTTCGAAGTTCGAAGTTTGAGCTTCGAAGTTTAGCGCGATTCCAAATTCTTTATCGCGAATTTGTGGTTCGTTCTTTCTGAAAGATATTCTCGTGAGTCCAATTTCTTTATCGCGAATTTGGAGCTAGTCGTTTTCAAATGATATTCGCGGGGGATCTCCGCGCTTCTCGCGAAGAAAATTGTCATGTCGAGTCACTGAGGACACAAGTGAAACATGTAATACAGTTCTTGTACACAGTCTGTATTTTCCTACGGCTATGTCGTGTGTTTGAAAGCAGACAGACATCGTACGACCCCGCATGGAAAGAGAAACTATTACGCAGGCCATAAAAGTGCTTACAGATTAACGGTCCGTAAAAGACTACGATGACAGAAACCAAAAAGGGTTATTAGCTCTCGCGTTGGTTTACACAACACTTATCCGCTTGCTCGCACGTAAAATCGAAACTGCACAAACACTTCTTCTTTAAACTGCGTTTTCCGGTCGTTTACAGAAAATCCTCTCTTTCTCTTTCTCTCTGCATTGTTCCGGAATACATTCTGTGCAGATACGACCAAAAGAACAGAGCTGGCGAGAGTGTCAGTTTCTTCCTCCATAATTTTCGGAGCGCCAAATTAGTATGCTAATTGGTAACCTAATTACATCTTGTGCAAGTAGAAATATGTGATTTCGTCAAAATTCATCAAAATCCCGTTCGTGAAGATCCCCAGATAGACAAATATACGTAAATTAGTAAAGAAGGCAACTTTACTAGTCGATTTGTAAAGATTGTTTAAGAATGATTCATAGAATAATGAAATAGAATCACAAAGGAATACGAAGGAAATGATCGAAATTTGTCATGCAGTATGAAAATTTGAGTATGAGTAAAAAAAGGTCAAAAATGCTTTTACTGATTCACTTTAAAGCCTGATTTACAATGTGCTCTTTGCTTCCTGTTTCGTTCTTCCGTTCTATCTCTATCGTTTAACCTCTTTTTAACTTAAGAGAATTAGAAAAAGATAAAGAAACAGGAAGCAACGAGCATATTGCAAGTTAGGCTTTGAAGAGTATGATAGAAATTTAATGATAAATTCAGTACAGTACATTGTACATACTGTACACACAAGTACAGTTATATATTTATGTGCTGTATAGTATATAATACAGTTCAAGCACATTTGCTTAATAAATGTAATTGTACAGTCCCCATCGTCGATTGTATTTCACAATCGTGATAATTACGAAAGTCTATCTGGGTCCCTTAAGCGGAGTCTACAATAAAAGTCGTAGACATTGAGCAGTCGATTATTCTTCTCGTACCCGACTATGATTGGTCAATTTCTACGATTTACAACTCTACGACTTCTATTGTAGACCCCGTTTTACTCGCGGGTACCGTCGTCGGCTCGACCGCGGCTCCGGAGCGAGCTTCTTTTCGGGGCGACACGCGCGTGCCGGGCACGTGTACGTGCGGCGGCCTCCCGTTCGCGATCCCCTTCAAATCCGTGCGCCCTTCCACGTTCGTTCACGCGTTAATGTCCGCGTAAAGAGGGAAGGAGAGCGAGGGAGGCAGAGGAGGAGACATGGAGGAGAAACAGAAGAGAAGAGCGACCGCAGCAGCACGGCAGAGCGGCGCGCGGAGAGACAGGAGGAAGCGGCACCGTGTGCCATCGTGGTTTTTTGAGTGTTCCAAAAATACTCTCGACTCGGGGGAAAGATAAAGAGAAGAACGGGGCGGGAAAGCCGGGCGATTCGATGGGCAGGAGGGAGGAGAGCGAAAAGAAGGATGATGCGCCTTGGTAGCCGTGGAGTAAGAGAGAAGAGAACGCCAGTCCTCCGTGACTATTCATCCGAGAAACGTGCTCGCGAGCACCGCGGCGACAAAGGGCACGGCAAGGAGAAGGGGAGAGATTGCGAACCGCGAAAATCCCGAGAAGATTCCTCGGTCGCACGATCGCGCGACGGGAACAAGACCGCGCCGCGAGGAGATGTATGCGTGTATCCTTCCGGTTGTGTAAACCGATCGAGACATCGGGCGCATCGCTTGCAGCAGTTGCAAAAAGGAAGTGTCGGTAACGCAATTTAGTCAGGTGAAAAGGAAAGAGAGAAGGGAAGGATGAAATTGCAATTTTCAATTCGCACTTAATTTCGATAAATCCGAAGAGAATTGGCTGCGTATTACACATGTATGTAAAGATGAGTAAATAATAACGCTTAGGATTCACGCTTCGACGACGTGACTTGACGTTGAAAAAAACGCGCGTGCAATATCATCCGCGGATCATCCTCCAATCGATCGCGGACGGTCACGTCGCGGCGATTCGAATCGGCTGCAATTCAAAGTGACACCGTACGCGATCGAGGATGCCTCTGAAAATCGAAAGCGGCACCTACACGGTGAATCCGGTGGTGAAAAAGAATGTCTCGAAGTTCCTCCTCTGGAAACATTGGCGGCGAAGGTAGGCAGAGAGAGAGAGAGAGAGAGAGAGAGAGAGAGAGAGAGAGAGAGAGAGAGAGATTTGTACATGTGTGGAATTTCTAGATTGATCAGAAATTAACGTCCCATTAATACGCGCTACAAATTGTCGCAAACGTTTGTTTATACAGTAGATGTTTCATGATGAGCAATTAGGACGCGAATGGGTCCTGTCAAGATTCATTAGCGGTACAATACATCCGCGATGAATATCTAATTAAGACGCCTGATTGTAGTCATTAGCGAATCACAACGTCAGAAACGAGAAATCGTGCGAAATTCTTTCTCCCGCGAAACAGAAGATGCGAATTTCTTCAACGTTCTAAACGCCTTCTGAACGGAATTTCTTTTTACCTCAAAATCAAATGATCTTTTTATATCGCTGTATTTTCAATTGTTTAATTGAAAATCCAAAGAAAATTGTTAATTGCTGCAAGCACAACTACGAACAAGATACTAAGGCCTGTGTTAATAGTCCTTAAAATTTGTCTCACGTGAGATGTTCATCTAAATTTCAAGCTCTATCAGAATTTCTCATTCGAATCATACGATATTCGTGATATTGTATTTGAAGTTCAACTGAAAGACTCATCAGAAATCTGAAATTAACCAGATATCTGGTGAAATATAAACGAACCAGAATTCCGCTTGAAGTTATCAGAGTTTTATTTAAGTTAACAGGTTTCTGGTTGAGAGATCAAAGCTGTATTCGGGGAGATGCTATTTAGCGCTATGAGCGTGCTCTGACCCTTGTTATTTAGTTGAACAAGGAACAAAGCGTGCTTAAAACGCTAAATCGTGTCTCCCCAAACGCAGTCCAAATAATCTGATTAACTTGGTTAATCTGGCGACCAAACAAGATAACTGGAAATCTTGTTTGATAAACCAGAATCTTGTTAATTCGAACGGTAACTTCAACTGGAATTTCAATTCGTTTATATTTTACCAGACATTTGGTCAATTCAATCAGTTTCTTTTTCGTCTATTAATACGCACCTAAGATATCACCTTTTTATGCCACTTATTGAAGCATTAATTTTTCAAAAGTCGTCCGCCAGTTTCACAGAAATCATACATATGCGCGCGCTTATCATTATCATGAACCTTCACGATCGAGCATGATTCGTTCACCTTGCACACTTTAATTCTGCTTGGTCGCACGCCTGCACACCCTGTATGCACCTTAACCGTTAACTCGCAATTATGTCAGCGCCGATTTCTGCATCGTAAACAACATTGTACAACTCTGTCTACCTACCTACCTATCTACCTATCTATCTACCTGCCTACCTACCTACCTGCCTACCTATCCTTTCCTACCTGCGCGACTCGTTTCTTCAATCCGTTACGAGTGCCGTATGCACTTCACATGCGCGAATGCAATCCGGAGTCTGGCCCGTTTCCCGACCTGAGGATCGCATCGATGTATGGCGTGCGATGTGATCGAAGTGCGAGAGGTTATCGATGTAACTCGACGAGTTTTCAATGGAGTTCCGCCTAATGTAAAATTATCTCGCTGATGGATTGTACAAGTATACAATATAACTTTAACATATAACAATATATTCGATTTTTTTGTAAACGTGCGACAATCGCCAGTGGACGACAACCGATAGAATAGCATCTCTTTCGGCTGCCGCGAGTTTAAGCCGTCAATGTTAGAACGACCTCCACTGCATGCAGTCTGATCGCACACGTTCGCGCTGCACCCGCTTGTACTGGCTGTGATTGTATGTGAGATTTATGCTTGTCGGCTGCACCTTCCACGTTCGTCAGTTTACAGGGAACTCGGTGCCACTTCGCGATCAATCTCACCCGCCCACACAGAAACACAATGCTGTTGTAAAATCTATTTTCGCGATCTTCTTGAAAACCGTCGCCTCGCGTTGTTGTGTAACGCGCTGCCAGATCTTCCTCAGCAAAGTCCAGCCCTACAATAAAATACACGTAAAATATACACCGCTGCGACCGAGAAACCGGCGGTCAGTCTGTCGGATTTCCCCGAGTGGCACCAGTTCCCGTTGCTCACGTTGTTCTCGAGCTCCTCCGGTGGTACGTTACGGCAGACAGCAAGCAGATATCCTTATCGATCGCCGTTACGCCGTACAGATGACACATGAGCGGGAAAGAATCGCAGCTGTCACCGCGGTAGACACTAATTCGCGTTGCTTTCTCGCGTTCCGGTTGTCACAGTTATATCGAAATATTACAAAAAGAACGCAAGTGACAAATTGGCTGGAGCTGGACGGTAAATTTTCGCTGGAGCTTCTCGAAAATCAGGATGTACTCTTGAAATTTCTTGGAGTGAAATTTCACTGCAGCAATTAAGTGAGTCACTCGAGTCCGAGTGATTTTCTACTCATATAGAGTGTAATCTCCACTCTGAATTGTCGAATGAATATTTTGCAATGTACATTCAATATGTGTACATGTGTATATATTTTATATTGTAAATTTAAGTATTTAAAGAACAAAATAATAAAAATGTCCAGAATTAAATACATCGGTGAAAAAATACTGAAAAAATAAAAAGATATATTTATTCTGTGAGTACTAATAAAATATTTATTTAAATCTCAATTTTTTTATTTAAATAAAATAAACAATTGTTTTTATGAAATGCAACGGTATCGTTGTTGGTGTTTTAGGATAATATGTATTTTCTCATTTGGAGAGAAGTTTTTTCTTAATGTAAAAATATATCAGTACACTAAATATGTTATTAGTACTCATTGAACAAATATTTTTTCTCTCATTGTACGTGTCCACAGATACTAGTACTTTTATTTCTCAGCCAGAGAAACATATTCACTCTAATTGATAAAAACGTTCATTCTTGCAATTCGAATGACAATATCTTCATTCTCCTATTTAGTGGAAATACTGTCACTTTTTCTTCGTTTTGAGTGAGATTCCTCCAAGAAGCTTAGAGAGAACATTTCCCCCGTCTACGTTCACGGGCCCCTTTCTGAGGTCCGTGGGGGTCCGGCTTGAGAATCCCCGTTATACAGAGCATTCCATGGTATCCGCGATTGTCGGTCGAATCCGACACTTCTCATCGCGCTTTTTCGCGAGAACCATGAAGAAGGAGACGCGCAACAATTTGCCGACACTGTACATAATACCGTGACTCGTACACCGAGCTCGAGGACAGTTTTGCACGCGTGACAGAACACGAACGACGGGATGAGAACGCACTGCTTGTGCAGTGTGCACGAGGACCGCGTGGACGAGGATTGGCGAGGAAGTGGGCAGCCGTGCGGGGGCGGTGAGGTGGCGGGCCTGGACGACGTCGACGACTTCTGCACCGCGACGGTGACGTCGTCGGTCCCCGGAGCCGGTGGCATCCACTCGCATCGACGTAACAGACCGCTCTCCCTGGCCGTCCAGCCTCTCAACTATCATCGCCTCGACCCGGACCACAAGACAGCCGCGGAGATCGCCACCAGGCACCATCACCCTAACATGACCAGCCAGGAGAGTATCGGCAGTTGCAGCCTGGACGTCGACCGCTCTGCGTCCGACCGATCAGGTTGGCTATACCGACATTATTGCGAGAGACGCGACCGCCTGGGTAGCACCCGGAATTGACATCACTCAAAATCCAACGAACTTTCGCAAGCTCCTAATACATTAATTCTGGCAAGAACCTTGTAACTGTCGAATCCGTGAGCAATAGTCCTATCCGTGAACGGGTCTATGGACTATTTATGAATAGTCGTCACTTGAAACTCCTCTCAAGTGAGATATTCAGATGAATTCAGAGTCGGATGAGAACTTTTCAGTTGAATCGCGATTATAATAGATTATAATAGATATAATGCGGGGGAGGAAAAATTTTGTTGGATTAAACAAATATCTGATGAAGTATGGATTAAGGGCCTTCACACATAAATTGCCGTAACGTAAGACGTATCGTAAGAATTGGCCAATCACGATGAGTATCGTCGAATCGTAATCGTTACTGTTATATCAATTTGTGCGTGAAAGCCCTAACCAGTATTCTAACTAAAGTGTTACTAAAGTCAGTAGTTTAACTAAAGTTAGTTCGACTGAACAAGATTCTGGTTGACCAAACAAGATTTCTAATCAAGCAGAATTTTTTCTATGTTTTTTTAGACATTTAATTAATCTCTTTCCCGTGTGTCACATATATCATATAGTTTAATATACTGAAAAATTTTGAATAGCTCTGAATAAAAATTTGACAGGGGACAAGTTTCAGGTGACAACTATTAATGCGAGTCTAAGGATACTAACTAATTCTTAATTACAATATACTAAATTTTCACAAAGAACAATGAACACAATTCACATGAACGTGCAATTATTACGAAGAACTCATGCTCGATAGACTGTAAGTCTTCGAATACGTTACATATAATTAAACATTACTATCTGTGAGGAAAATTGCGACTCCACTCAACCTATCGTAGAATGAGGAAATTTAGAAAAAGGAAACCTCAGATACAAAATAACAGAGACTATGTTTTGCCTAAGAAGGGTCGTTTCTAACAGGGAATTTTCTCCACGAGAACCTAGGACGGGGAAGAACGATTAGACGCGTCTCTCAAGCGAGGCGATTGTTCCGCAGAAAAGACGGGACGCGCCTGAAAGAACGTGGGATTATCTCTTAAATCAATGCTCTCAATTATTCCGAAACGACCTCGGAATTGAAGTTGAGGACTAGCTCGCCCAGGAGAAGTTTCTCCCGCGATTCCCTTAATCTCGGCCCCGACGTGATGTTCAGCCGAGATCCGAGCGAATTTCCGGCGATCCACACGGTCGGCTTCAAGGTCGGTCTCGATGGAGTCGCCGGTCCCTCCACCGTTACCTCCTCCTCGTGCAGATCGTGAGCGCTCTTTGCCCGCTCGAAATGCCGATTGGATTTAGACCGTAGGCGAATAGACCGAGTGCAACGCCTCTTCTGCTCGTCGTGGCGAAGAAGCCGACGGCGAGAGAGTTCGCTCAGTGTTTCAGGACCAACGCCGCGGCTCGGACGAACGTAGAGAATCGGCCTGTGGATTCGTCCCAAGTCTACGTAACGCGTCAGTCGACCTCGGGATCGAAAGTGCACCTCTTGAATCCAACGCTAATCGGGATTTCCGTTCGGTCGTTTTGACATAAAACTCTCTCGCTCTCTCTTTTTCTCTCTTTTGCGTTAGACCAGTCAGTGCGGGGAATAAGGTCGCGTCACGACGCAACGATGTGAATAAGACTCGTTTAACGCGAGCTGACGTACGTTGGCACAGCGCGTGGGTGACGATGCTTTTCGAAGGTGAATGTCTTCCGACGGAGAGCACAGTTGGCTCGCGGACAGTCGCGAGAGTTAATGAGAACGCGCTGAATCGGAATTATTGCCAAATCTATAACGCGCGACGAAACGACATCCCAAGTGTGCCTCTGTGTGTCTAACCATACGATCTGTAATCTCGTTAACCTTAAGCCGCGTCGTGGTTATACGAAATCTTAACGAAATCAAGAAACAATCATAAGGGAAATATCTGTTTCTTAATTTCATTACAAAGTAATCAAATTCCCGGCGACGAGACTTCCTCATTCAATATATCTCGTAACCTTAACTCTCAAGCAAGCCATAGGATGCTGTGTTGGCGATTCGCGATGCGTTGTCGCGAGCCGAACGTCAGACTGAAACTTTCCTTCCAGAGAACACTGTGGACTCAGTATCGGAGAAAACCCTGCACAGCTTGAACTTGTCGTGCAACGGTGAGCCAGTGTCGTTAGCTGAGAACTTGGCGAACGGCAGCAGTGAGACGCTGCAGAAGTCGCACCTCACCCCCGATGAGAAGCTGAACGTCAGCAATGGTCCACGAGGCAGTCCCGAGCCGGAGCAGCTGACAGCGAAGAAGCCGAGTTACTTGGGTCTGGCGTGCAGCATAAGCGGCTACTCGGGCATCACCAGGTACGACAGTAAGCTCAGGGAAGGATTTCGCTCGAGAGACAGCAGCCCCGGCGCAAGATTGATCACGAGGGACACGAGTCCTGCAGGTTTCAAGTGAGACTTATGATTGTTACTTATTATACAAATATTACACGGAAAAGAAGCGTTTGGTTGCATTAACAAAATTTCTGGTGAAATACAAACGAACCAAAAAATTCTGGCCACCAGAATTCTGTTCGGATTAACCAGAAATCTTGTTATCTTAAAGCAGAATTCCAATAACTTCGAGCTGAATGTCTGGTTTGTTTACATTTTACTATCCAGAAATTTGGTTAATCCAATTAAACTTTTTTTTTTCGTGCAATCATCATTATTATAATCCAAGTATTTTCATGTTTGAACAACGAATGCTCGAAAATTGCAGATCCAACGAGAATCTCAGTGTTCCGTCGTATCACCCGCCTAAAAGCCACTCGATATCGCCGTTAGCGATGGACCGGCAAAACGGATTCGCCAATGGCATGAAGGAGGAGTGCAAGATCGAGACATACATAGAGAGCAGAAGCTCGATCACGATATGCCAAGATTTTTCGGAAGTTGACAAGGGAGTATCGTTGCATACAGCATTCCCCGACCTCAGCCCCATCAGGACGAGCACTTCCATTAGCAAGCAAAGCCCCGGGATATCGCCGATGATGTCCTGCGCTCAACAAGACAAATCTTTTCCCGCGGGTTTCTCCTCTCCCAAGCAGGGTATTAGTAATCGTAAGGAGAATTTCTCGCGATATTCTAATTGCCTTCTAATCTAAATTAAGGAAATATATTTGATCTAATTTTAATCTAATTTTAATTCCAATCTTGATTCTAATTTTATACTTTTCTTTTTGCAGTCTCGAATACTTCGTTTAGTGACACTAATGTTCTAAACGGCTTGACGACTGAGGTTGAGAGCCAAGTATTGAACACCTCATCGAACAGTGAGAAATCGTTCATTCAGCAGCGAGTGGAGCGGCTCTACGGTCCAGGTGCTTTAGCGCAAGGTTTCTTCTTCAAGCGAAGCACCACTAAACTAAACGTCACCAGCGACGGTAGTTTCAATAAGTCCGGTAACAATAACAATATTTCGACAGACAACGCAAACACAGACGAATCGTTGAAGAATCTGCCAGTGCTGCGGCACCTGCGCCCGGAATTCCGGGCGCAGCTTCCTGTAGTTAGCACCAGAAAGCCTACGGACGGTACGGAGCAGGTCATCAAGCCCCTACAGAGGTAAGCATATAAAACAGTCACTTTATTTCTTTATTTTCTCCTCTCAACGATAACCGTCGCCCTTCTGCATGGCCAGGGTAATACCGGTGACACGGAAGGTCGATCCGAAGAACCCCACGACCACGAATTCGCAGAACAGCGTAACGAGGAGAATCCCGGTGATCGTGGAGAGCGATACGTCGAAACGCGATACCACAAGCATACCTGATCAGCAGCCAGCCGCGCCGAAGGTGGTGTTACCCGTGTTGGAACCCAGCGCGAGTTCAACGAATATAGCAAAGCAAGCTCAAGAAGCGGAGAAAGTAGTAGAAGAGAAAGACGGACATTACTTTATGAAGGTAATTAGAATCAAAGTATACGTGTGAATTACGCGCTGCTGTGTGAATTATGCCATACGCGCGTTTCCTGACAATAAAACACATTCGTGTGTGTGTTCAGTTACTGAAACAGGAAACAGACAGGCTGCTCTCGTTGGCTGCATCTGCCGAGGCCGAATTAGCTAGCGGCGATACCGTTGCACTGCCGGAGGAAGCAGCTGGTAAACTGAGATCAGCCGCGGGCAAAGCTAGATTGTTGACTTCTCAGAAAATGCAGCAATTCGAGGGACTCTGCCAGAAGAACATTGTAAGAAATTCGTTTCCCTGATTATTTCCTGTCGAAACGGCGGATCGATCGCGCCTCATTTGACGTTTGCAACAATAAAATTGCAGAATCAGGTGCCAGATGAAGAGTTCCCGACGACGAACGAGGACTTGGCCGGCTTCTGGGACATGGTGATGCTGCAGGTGGTTCAGGTGAACGATCTTTTCGACCAGATAGAAAAGCTGCGGAAGTCGCAGTGGCAAGAAGTACGTTGAAATACATTGTTATTGGTAACAGCTGTGACTATCTATTTAATTTAAAACGACTTTCACAAAACGCTCTTACTATCTACGATCACGCCATTTGATATCGTGTTCGACGCGCTTACAGAGCGTGCCGGACAAGAAGGCCGCGCCAACCTCGCAGAACGGCAAGCGCAGAGTCATCTCGGTCCACAAAGCAAAGCCGACTGCGAACAGCGAGGCGAACAGGAAGGCGCGGGAGGCGAGGGAGCAGGCGCGACGACAGCTGATCGAGGAGCGGAGACGAGCGATGCGCTCTAACGCGCAGAACACTGACAGTTCCGTCGAGATCTTCGCCCCCGAGACGTAACGACGAACAACGGCGCGCTGAGTCGGGACTCGGGACAAATGATGAGACACAATCGGCATTGTAGAGCTCATAAGAAATATTAGCGCGTGTAGACTGTGACGTAGGGATCAAGCGCGTTGCGATCATCACGCCTCGAATGAGCGTTGGGCTGACACGCGAGGAGGTATATAAGAGAGAGAAAGAAGAGAAAAGAATCACACGTCGTTATGCGATCAGCTTATGCGAAAATCAAAGCTGCTTATTATTACTACTACTACTGCTATTACTACTATTACTACTACTATTACTATTATTATTATTAGTATTATTTTATTATTATTATTATTAATCAATGTCTCATCCTCCGTATGCGAGTCAGAGTCGCAACGAGGAACGAAAAAGTGTCGAGAGCGCATCAGAGGTTACTCAGAGGATGTTTCGCATTACGAATGGCAAGAAAAAAGGAGGCACGACTCGGAGGCGAAGGTCTCTCGTCGAGTTTCAACGCGTCGCGTATTAACGTCCCGAATATCCTAGCAATAATGCGACGATGACGACGATGACGACGATGACGACGGCGCGTCGCACCCTTCTTGTTTATAGAGATATTTTGTAACGAAACGCGAGGAAAATACTTGCCGTAGCGCCTTGTCAGATTGTTTTTCTACGTTGAGTGTCGGACAGACACTGATTAACTTATATTTGTACAAGCTGTAGTGAGTTAATAATATTGTGGGAACAGTTGCGGCAGCCGGACAGCCGCGACGAAGAATCGGATGAACGCGATATCGCGCGAGGAACTCTTGTCGGTCGATGTCAGTCGCCCTTCGGAAGTCCACCGGGGTGTCTAGGTTAAGAGTCCGGATGCGTCGATCGTAAGGGGCGTCAGATTTTTCATGCGATTTTATCACACGTATGACGATCTGATTTCTGACGACCAACAGCAGTCTTCTCACGTAGGTCCTGTCGTGACAATTCGCAATCTTAACCTAGACACAAGGCGATTTATCGTGTAGTTTATGTATGTAAATAGAATTAAACGGATATTCACAATTGCACGAGGCCCACCTCATGTTAGGCCGAGTGTTCGCCTAATAGCTTTTTCTATCAGATATCGACAAAGTTTCCCAGTTGAGAGAGATGCTGTCAACAACAGACGAGAGTAAAAAGATTCCTATTATTCTTATTATTCTTATTATCATTACAGTCACTGCGATAAACACATTTTATTATTATTATTATTATTCTATTCTAATTATAATTATACACGAATACACCCTCATCTCCCGCGCGAAACGTGGTCGTATATAAATTATTCTCGTCAGCGACGGTGTTATTAGTCGTATCAACGCTCTCTGGAATATCCGCTGCGACGACGTTCCACCACGTTACGCGCGTGAGACTCACCGCGTCCAAGTGTAGTGGCTGGCGTTTTTCACTTATTTGTAAGATGATCATGTTTGATGAATCATTGTTTGTCGCACATATTCGAAGACGTTTATGGAGGAAAGAGAGAGAGAGAGAGAGAGAGAGAGAGAGAACGTTGAATGCGAATGTGCGCGGCAGGTGCGTTTTGGATACTGTCACAAGCCTTGAGCGCGATGCGACGCGTCATGAATCTCGATCGGATTGTCGACTTGATCTATTTGACCGTGGCTCAACGTGTCGCTCAATCGTTACATCCGCCAAACCTGACATTCCCCGTGATAAAGAACGTCTCTCGTAAACGAAAGAAGGAAAAAAAAAGAAGAAAAGAAAACCTCTTTTCGCGTAGTTATACACGACTGTAACTTACACTCCTCAGCATCCGATTAACGGTTAGCGGTTCTAACGGCAAGTCATCAACCAAATAACACTATCATACCTAAGTAATGTAATCACGAGCGTGTGTCGTCGCGCGCGAACTGTAATCACGACTCTCGTTATTCGCGTCAGTGTTATCATTATTATCATTGCGCCGATTTTGTCTCGGTTCCTTTTGTCGGAAATTTTTGTAAAAAAATTCACCCGTGTAATTTATTGATTGTTAATTCCCTTGGTGCCTTCATTATTTATACATGTGTATATAATCGACTGACACAGCCAACAATTTTATGTACATGTATCTATTTAAATTATACGTTTGATCGAATTTCACATGAAATCTGTTGATAAATAAGAATAAAACGAATAAATACCATTATTTATCAATTGAGACTGACCAATGTCAACACGAATGAGGACGGCAGGAGAGATCAGCACGTCGGACGGCGGTGTGTAGGAGAGATCGCTGTTATATACACCTTTCTCGCGATAGCGAGAACAGTAAATATTTCTTTGCTGAATACTAATAACATATTGATTTGAATCTAAATTCTTTTATTTAAATAGAATAAACAATTTTCACGAAAAGCTAAGATTTTCTGAAGGTTTTAAGAAAATGTATGTTTTCCTATTTAAAGAATACTTTATATTGATACAAAGTAAATATATGCACCGAATAAATATTTACTATTTCCTAGATACTTTTTCTCTCAGTGCAGATTTATTTTACTCGTATGGAACACAGACAGAAGACAAATGTGCGTGACAGCGATTCACCTTATATTTCTTTGACACAAAGAGATATACACGATAAAATATAACGTATAGAAGGCAATGAACACTCTGCAGACATACAGATATCTTGTGAATACTCATTTCCGATATCGCGATTAATCATGGCTATTTTTTTATTCGATTGCGAGTAATTTGGTCGACAGCAATTTTCGTCGTCCGGGTCGCATAGTGAACACAATGAGGTGAACACTTCCAGTTTTCCATCGGTTCTTCTCGAGCGGTCCTTTCCGATACTTCGTACCGATACGTCGATCGCTTGGCGAGACTGAACCCCTCGCTAATTTGATCGAGCTGCTTATGCCAAACATATCAGGGTCTTCCCTTCGTTCATTTTATCCTGAATTTTGTCGCTGGCGGTCGACTTCTCCGCCTGTCCGCTGAAAGCAGCGCAGAGGAAGGTGAGAACAACGCCGATCGTCGCGCTGTAAAAGGCCCAGCCTGAAAGACACGTTTAATATATTTTGTACTCTCCTGTAACCTGATTTAACTTTATGAAGGAGTTTGTCTCTGACTTGTTACTTTACATTAATTTGCAACGAAAGAAACTGCCTATTCTTTGTAAGATACAAGTAGATTGTTGATTTGAGCAAAGCTATCAGTTCAAATCTGTGAAAGTCGATAAAAAAGATGCGCAGCTGCTTGATGTCTAAGCTTTCTTAATGTCTAATTTCCAATCCGAGACTCTCATTTATCTGCATACCAAGACTGCAGTTGGCGAGATAGAAAGCGTCGGCTTCAGGACCGCAGATCCTCTGTACCCTCTCGGCGCCCCATCCTGCAGGATACAGGATCATCCCGAAGAGATAAAGTATTCCTGCGGAAACAAAAGCGCAAAATACATATTCCCCTCTCCAAGTTTCATTATAATTTATCATAGTGGAGTGGAGTGTCTTCAGGGTGGTTTAAGCGAGTCAGTAATCTTCTTTTTTAATTGATCAGAGAGATTGTATCGCAATATAATTTTCAAGACCACGTCGCGTTTCTTAATGAGCGCTCCATCGAAATTGGATCATTAACGACCGTGCATACTTTCAGATGCTCCTCCCCACGTGAAACATTACCAGCTACGGCCTGCGCCACACCCGCCAAATTGAAGATGCTCTTGCGGCCGATACTCTGCACGCAGCATCCCAGCAGAGCAGCTATCACAGTAATCGACATCACCGCCAAGCCTGAGGACAAGAAGAACAAGGAGGCCTTCCAGCATCCGGGGAAAACGTTGGGGTCCGTCGCGAGACCGTCCACGTTGAAGTTCGCGCAATGCAACCTGCCGTACAATCTCGTGCAACGGTTGAAGATCCCGACGGTGGGTGTGTACAGTTCCGTGCCGTTTCCTGAAATGCCGGAGCAGGTCACGAAATGACGAAGCGAGAAACGTGCCACGTATGAAACGAAGTGAAAGGGAGAGAATGATAATTGAGATTACATGTCGCCAATCTCTCTCTCTCTCTCTCTCTCTCTCTCTCAGTAAATGAGAGGAGTAAAGTTACTTATGCGAGATAGCCCGGACACGGGCTGACGAGGAGCTGAGGGAGGCACGCAACGAGAACTTCAATCAAGTTGGAGGATACTCACTCGTGTCTTTAATCGTTGGTGGTCCGACGAGCCATCTCGGAGTGATGAGGCCCGATAAAACGGCCATCAACGCTGTCAAAGACAAGAGCGTCCACAGCAGACTGCGTCCGGTAACTATCACATAACACATACTGCCGATCGATCGTTTGCCCTGCGCCCTATGCCATTCTCGGCCCACTCGGTGGTGTCTGAAAAAGATCGCGTCGCCATCAAGTGCCAAGTGTAATTGCTTGCCTCGACGCCACTATACGAATTCCTATCGCCGCGCGCGATAAATAAAGTTCGGTGTTTTTGAGATTAACGTTATCGCACGCTCGTGGTCCCGACGTGGGTTCAACGGCTTTAATAAAAGCGAGTTCGGGGATTCGGCCAGTCGCGGTGAAGTGAATGCCTTTCACATGTATTTCGAAGAAACGTGCGCCGGTGTTATTCCTCGGGCTCTCCTCGCGCGGGCATTAAGAGCGAGGCCGTAAGACCGAAACGTAGCTTACACATCTCGGGTTACGACCGTGGCTAACAGTTCCGACTTTTTATTCTGATTCCACGGAAATCGTGAAAGGGCACACGGGACCCCTTGGTCGGACACAGAGGGATCGGTCGATCCGTTCTCGCATCGAACTCGACATCGTGCCAGACCCGACGAGCGGTCATTATAAGACGCTTCCTCCGCTCGTGATCGACTGCCTCGGACCAGGCAGCGCAACTTTCGTAGGTATTTTTGAGGAAGACTCATATTTATAGTCCGGTCTACATCATCACACGTGTGAGGGTATCATTGCCTGTGCGCCGAAAGAAAAATTCGAGTTTCTCTGAACTGATACACCAGTCACGCAATATATCCGATTTTGGAGCTTTCTGATCAAGCGTCAGGTACCTTCATCCAATGAGACACAACTTAATCAAATATTGCACTTGATCGAACAAAAAAGAACGCTTTTTCTGACTCACCTAAATATCCGACCAGAAAGATGGTATTCGAATGATATCCGATGAAAATGATCCAATGAAGTCAGCCAGCCAGGTTTGAAAGGATTTTGGTCTTTAACTGTTTCGTAAAAACGTATCACTGTCTTCTGAACGGTGGATTTAGAAATAAAATTGCGATCAGGATATGCAGCATTGAATATGTAGATCAGTTACTTCTTCGTATGATCTAATATGGTCTCCAAATTTTCGATAAAGAAACAACATTATCTTTTCTTTATCGGTTATTATTTTTAAAAAAGAAATTTGAAATTGTAGTTGGAAAAAGAAAGGGAAAAGACAAAGAGTAAGATGCGAGAAAGCACGACTCGTTTTTAAAATACAAAGATCGAGGAGCGTTATCGTGAAGCGCGGGTATGCGCGAGTTTTGACTGAGTACGTGTGATATTACGTCGTGAATGAATAACCGCGTTCGATGCGAGCGAATGAACAACTAGGCTGGGAGCCTAAAAAACATAAACACAGGAGAAAAACAAGAATAACTTTGTTTTTCGTGTCTCGAGCTAGACGATATGACCGGCTTAGTTGTTCATTCGCTCTCATTCATGACGTAATATCACACGTAGTCAGTCAAAACTCACGCATACCCGCGCTTCACGATAACGCTTCTCGATCTTTGTATTTTAAAAACGAGTCGTGCTCTCTCGCATCTTACTCTTTGTCTTTTCCCTTTCTTTTTCCAACAATTTCAAATTTTTTTTTTTAAATAATAACCGATAAAGAAAAGATAATGCTGTTTCTTTCGAAAATTTGGAGACCATATTAGATCATACGAAGAAGTAACTGATCTACATATTCAATGCTGCATATCCTGATCGCAATTTTATTTCTAAATCCACCGTTCAGAAGACAGTGATACGTTTTTACGAAACAGAAACAGTTAAAAACCAAAATCCTTTCAAGCCTCATAACTCTAAATAAAAAGCCTAATAAAAGCCTAATAAAAAAATACTTTATTATAGGTTTTTGGAAAGCCCTTCAAATAAGCTACAAGAATATGTAATAAAAAGTGAGGGGTCCAATTTAAAAAATTCAATTTGACCTTCGTCCTCCATCCAAAGTTAAATTTTTAGCTATCATTAAGTATTTTATTAAGCCCTACAACTTTGCTACTTATATTTTTCGCTACAGTTGATCCTTTTCGAGATATTTCACCGTTTCCGGACTTTTTGCCAACCCTGTATAATGGTTACATTGCTGAATAAATGAAAATTCGTAACATATTGATGTAAAGTTACTGTTAGCTAGTGTTCATTAGGTTGTATATCGATCAAGTTTCATCGGATAAATTTTCAAAATTCTTCATCGGTATATCCGTTTGTTGAAGCTCAGATTTTTCTCTCTCAGTGTGGGGTTCATTTATTTATTATTGCCCATATATCGTACACGTTCGCAGAGAACGAACGCGCACTCAGCACCCGCAGTCGTCGTCACTTTTATTTCCGTCACTTCTTGCCGCGCGACTCGCGCGCGCTTCGGCCACTTCAGCAACGTGTTTGCTTAGGATCACTTCCCCTAATCGCTGTTTATATTTGCGCTGTCTCAAACCCCCGCAGGAACATAAATGAATCTGAAAGACGACATTGACAGTGTCGTGAAGGGAGAGCGTCTTGAAGGGACGCTCCTTCTCGAAGCGGATCGAAGTCAGCTTCTCTTCTTCTTCGCGTCCAACGGCCACGACAGTTCCACGCGAAAGAGGAACAAAGTGGAGAAAAAAGAAAAAAAAATATATATATATATACATAGGCGATTCGCGCGCTGCATTTGAAACGTTTAATTAACGACGGTCAGTCGGCGATCCAGTCCGGGAGTGCGAGAGCGCGCTTATCGCTTCCGCTCGGGCGATTTTCCGTCACGCTCGACTCTTTGTCTCGGCGTCCCACGGTGGTCCGTTCCTCGCGCATAATCGAGAATTAATGAGCCATGATCAAATTGACGATCTATGGCGTTCGAACGCGCGGAGGTAAGCGTCGTACCCGCGCGCGTGGGCAGACGCTGCCGCCCCCCGTCTGCGGGGCGGACGAGTGCGGCGGGCCCCGCAGCTGCGCGTTTTTCCCTTTTCCATTTTAATTGCCGGCTTCATTGTTACGTCGCCGCCACGCCTTCTCGTAATCACGCTGCGGACCTCGCGCGAGGGCCCCTTTCTCCGAGAGAGCGCGAGCGAGCCACCACTGAGTCGTGAATTAATCCTCATAACGCGCGCCGAGATCACGACTGAGTCGACGTCACGTGGACTTAGCATTGACTTCCCCAGCTTGTTACTTTTGATACGGAGGAAAGGAAAAAAAAAAACGGCACGAGACACTCTCGTGCTTTGGCAATTGAGAAAGTCGACGTTTGTCAGTGACTTTTATGAACTGTTCTTGAAGAACCGCGGATCTAATTAACTGTTCTTTTCTTCATGTGCGAACTCGAGGACGCAATCAATTTTGCGTGCGCTCTTCTGCGCAAACTGAACGATACCGTGAATTTACTTAGGAAACGTCCAAGCATGTTTACTTTTCCCTATTTTCTTCTTTTTTATTCTCTTTATTCGTACCTAAGGACTTTGTTCCCTGAATAAAGGCATAGATACTCGAGTGATTCACGAATGCGTCATCGACATGCGCTCGAGAGGCGCGTAGATTTATTCTACGGCGCGGTGAAATCGAGCTTGCGCGCCGAATTTGGATTTACAAGTTGGGTTGTTAACGCTCCCTCCGCCGACTTGCGACCTTTTGATCATAACTTACCGGACAGAGGACCCATTGGCGGATGACTAATGGTCGGAGCGTCCGCGCAACGGCTGGCAAGAGGAGGGACCGGTATATTGCATTCCGCGAAGATGCGTGAACCAAATGAGAACTTCTAATGCCACCCAAGTGTTCAGGGATACGGCTCGGAAATACTTGACGATTCCTCGCAGAATAGACCCGCGCGTCGGATAACGAAAGCTTCATTTCGTCCGTGGAATTCGCAGTTTAACATTACAAACGGTATTGAGGGTCAGAAGGAACCCAGACAGCACGAGCTCTAAAAACGACGCATAAGCTGACTTTAAGATGTCTTTTAGTTATATTTATGTCATCTCTAAAAGATGTATCATAAAGATGATTAAAGAACATCTTAAAGTCATCTTATGCGCTTTTAGAATTCATGCTGTCTGGGAAGAAATCGATATGGCTCATCATAAAATTTCGCATCACAGGAAAGTCATCCTTCTAAACAAGGAAGAAAGGAAGAGAGAATTTAAAATGCAACGGTGGAGGGATCAACATGAGGCGCACGGATAGTAAAGGTTTCATTCCGCACGTGAATTTTTCAATTTAACATTATGAGCGATATTGAAGGTCAGAAGGAAGAAATCGATGCATTTTATCGCGAAATTTCCCTTCACAGAAGAGAGGAAGGAAGAGAAAATCTGAAATTCAACGATGGAAGGATTAACGCGACGTTCACGGGTAATAAACAAAGACTTTATTTTGCACGTGGAATTTTTTATTTATGACTCAACGTTACGAATTGTATTAAGGCTACTGTATTAAGGCCCCTATTAATAATCCTTACTAGAAATTTGTCTCAAATAAGATACTCAGATTTGAATTCAGAGTTAAATAACAGTTTTTTATGATGACTTGAATCACGATTACACATATATAATATAAATGTCACATATAAATCGACTGAGAAACTCTCATTTAATTCTGAATAAAAATCTGAATATCTCACATATGAGACAAGTGTCAAGTGTGACAAGTGTTAAATAAGTTCCAAAAGCCCGAAAGAAGAAATTGCTGCGCTCCATCCCGAAATTGCGCAACATAGGAGAGATATCTCTCTAAGAGATAGAGAAGAGAGAAGGAGAAAATTTAAAATTCAACGACGGAAAGAAATTAACATAACGCGCATCGTCTTAATTATTTCGAGAGCCTCCACCACCGCAGTGTCTAAAAACACAAGACACCTACTCTCCTTGCATAATCTCGCGAGTGTGTGTACGCGCCATATGCGAGGCAGCTGTTGGACAGGTGCTCCCTAGCATCTCGCATCTCTTGTTTTCGTCCTCCCCTTCGCCCTCGTTCTCCAGATCCAGTCTGTGAGGAGAGAAAGGGAGAGGCAGACTCTTCGTCTCGTCTTCTCCTCTTCTTCCTAGCTCCTCTCGCTTCTCGGCATCTCGTTCACCGTCGATTTTATCCGCGGTGATTTATCGGCGATTCCACCTGAT